TTGAAAATATTTTCCCAGTTCTACACAATGCTGATACAGCTACAAGATTTAATCTTCGGCTATCCTACCATCTATTTCATCCGACTAAAATTTGATAACGTTTACACACATGTAATATTCACTTGGAATTCAATCAATACAGAGTAATATTTAAAACTGGAATGTGTATAATAAGTGGATCTGATGCGGATTTGTTACTGCATATCCAACCCAATGCCTCTATTAATCTTTAATCCACTGTAAGCCGACAAAATTTTTGTTGTATCCTTAAAGAGGTTTCAAACAGACAAAGGTGGTACTCAAATGAAGGAACAGCAACACGCGCGTAGATGAAAGAAAGAGAGGTTTATTGTAAAAGAGAATAGACTACTGAAAAAAAGGGAATCGGGTGGCAGGCTAGTATATCCTGTGCTCACTATATATAGCTACTGATATAGTCAGTTCACATAGGCAATAGGGAGTGTGGTAAATTTTCATTAATAACCTTCCCGAATGAATTAACTCTCAACTTTATATGTATGCGGATGACACACCCATTTACGCCTCTCTCGATAATAAGTCTGATCAATTCGATAAGGTCAAATTGGCAGTTTCCTTCATAAACGGACATCAGACTGTTGTTAACTGGGGCAAGCAATGGCTTGTTAATTTTCACGCCTCCTAAAAAAATTGCTGGCTGATGCTCACCTCCAGGAGAGTGACTCTTTGCACCTTATCGGTTTAATGTTCTGTTATAGTGGAACACACCTATTCTATAGTTAATAGACTCTCCCACCTATAATAAGTAGGAGTAGTAAGAGTAACGAGTGAGTCGGTCAGTCAGTCGATGTCGGACGACCTTTAGTCGAATACTAAAGTATCAGCGACCACAACTAGATTACTCTGCGTCATGCCTATTATATCAAGTTCTTAACGTTTTGAACGTCGGACCTATTTTAGGACCGACTTAGTACAAATACAAGTCTCCACTGTGAAATCACTCCACAAGACGTTCTCAGTTGACAGAAAGATTATATTGAATCCATTGCTAAGTTAACTGCTAAGAAAGTTGTCTCACTGTGTCGTACGAGAATATTTTACTCTCCAGAATTTATCTTGTATATCTATAAGTCTACCATTCGTCAATGCATAGAATAATGCTGGCACTTATTGTCCGTTGATCCTGCTATATATTTAGAGATCCCTGATAAAATCCAAAGAATCAGCAATATTATTGGTCCTGACTTGGCGTCTCTGCTTCAGTCACTTTCACACCGCCATAATGTTGCCTTCCTTTGCCTTTTCTATTGATATTTTGATGATAATTGTTTAGAAGAGCTCTTCCCTATCCTACCTAGATTTTATGAATTTAAGCGTAGTACTAGACTGTCTTATCAATTTTCAGCCGAATTGGCTAGATGTTACCGTATGTTCTATGCTAAAAGTTTCTTTTCTCGCACTTTTCGCTCGTGGAACTCTTTTTGAACTCATGATTTCCAGTCAACTGTAATCTCAAAAAATTTAAATGTAATCTCCCGGTTTCCTAATTACTCTTCTGTTGTTCTCATTCATTAGTAATGTTTCTGTTCCTAATTCTTCCACACCCAGTAAACCTCATGTGTCTTAGTGGCTTTATTGTCTTGCTTGGAGTGAACACAATTAAAAATATCCAAACAAGGGTTATTTAAGAAACTGGATAAAAGGATTCGGTTTATATAATAAATCGACTGTTTTTAAAGCCTAGCACGAGTAATTTTTCTTATTGACTGCAATATCATATTGTAACTTAATTTTTTTAACGAATTATAATGGTATTATTGGACGTTACCTTATAAGGAAAAATTCGACATTCATTGATTGAGCAGCCATTGACACTATAAATAGAAATTTATAAACATTTTTACTGAACCAATTTTTCGCGAAAATTCAGAAGCGAAATAAAAGTATTCAATTTATATGATGAATCAACCACTGTTTAAAGCCTAGCATCAGTGATGTTTCTTGTTGCCTTTATTTAGTGTTTTGCTTCTTCAGGGAGTAGATGATCATGGTCCTCTACGCTTTCCTACCTTTCGTAGCTAAAGGATAACAATACTTTATATCTGGTTGCTGAATACAGGACTACGTCTTCTTCCCAACCCGCTATACTTAAGTATTTAATGCGTTGTTTTCCTCTTTTCCTCAATCTCTCCTGTGAGTATCATATTTTCCAAGTTCCCTTTCCTCATTATGTGCCAACTCAATTCAATTCATATGTTTTTTTTTTCTCTAAAACATTGTCGATGCTCACATATTCGGTCCATGGTATCCTCGGCATCCTTCTGTAAAATCACATTTCTGTTCCTTCAAGTCTCTTATTCAGGTTTGAAATGATTGTCCAGCATTCACTGCCATACCGGAAGATATCACGAAAAAAGTTTTGTACTCTTTTCGTTGTTTCTAATGAATTTCTTCTGTTTCTTAATACTTTACTTAGCTTTTGAAAGGCATCTTTGGCTATCCTAATGCGCCTTCGAATTTGTGTCGTACTTTCCATCTTCTATTAAAACAATTCGCAGATATTTAGATTTTTACAATTATCTGATTTTGTATGTGTATCTGATGAAAAAACATAAATTTGGCTAGGTTTTTTTTTTAACAAATGGTAATGTTATTATAGATTCAGAGTCCTTTATCCGAAGTTGTTGATGGAATAGCCCGGATGTGCTACCTAAGGGATTGATGGAATAATTCTGATGTGCTACCTTCGAAGAGAGTGGCCGTGCACAAGAGAGCAGAGAAATAAATATTACCAGCAATATATTTTTGAAAAAATTATTACCAGCAATATATGTTTGAAAAACATATATAACTGTGAACGCCAATCGTGACGTCTGCCTGGCCGCGTCCGCCGTGCTGTCCCGGTCGCGGCGCCAGTTGTGACGTCACCCCGTCTGTCTCCGCGCCGTCGCCGTCCTATCCTGTCCCGTGACGACCAATGTGACTTGGTATTAGTCGCGGCACCAAATGTGACGTTCTAACCTTTTGCTGATTCGGGTGGGAATCTGGTTAGATTCGGTATCAGCCTTGTCGTTCCCAGCTCGCCTCCAACGTCTGGTTACCGAAGTAACTGTTTTGATTTCTTGTCTAACCTTAGATAGACGAAATCAATCAGTCGCCGGGCCGTAATGCAAGCTGAGTCCGGCCAAGGGTAACACCACACAAGTATATGTAAAAGAAAAGAAAATAATAACTCGAAAAGTTCAAATGTGTTAAAAAAGGATAACAATACTTTATATCTGGTTGCTGAATACAGGACTGCGTCTTCCCAACCCGCTATATGGATTCGTGACACTTTGTGTTTGTTAGGCGAGTCTTAACATCTTAATTTGTTTGTTCTTTAAGAAACTGGTTCTTGGTGTATCTTCAGGCGATATTCGTAAAACTTGTTTTGGTGGCGTGAGTCTAAGTCGTTCTTCAAAAATAAATTGTTCTTGATTAGAAGTTGAGGTCTTGAATTGCGTGGAATCTTTCAAGTCAGCTATCTGCGAGGCGGGACCAACTCAATCAAACTCAGCTGCGAACTGCGAACTTAACTCAACTGCCTCTCAACTGGAACTCAACTCAACTCAACTGCTTTTCACTCGCTGCGACTCTGCTTATATGGACGCCGACCAAAGCCAGGATAGACTTATCGGAGTTTGAGGTTCCTTGATAATTCTAAATACACAATCCACTTCTTTGTTTTCGGTCAGGAAAATTTATTATTTTCCATTTTTGGAAGTCTTTTCGTCCTCCCACCTTTTCTGTTCTCATATTGGTATCCCACCATACCCTCAAAGTCGGTTACTAAACAGGTTGTTAATTTTTTTTTTTTTAAACGGAAAATAACTGAGTTGAAAATAATTCACTAAGAGTGTACTAGACGATCCTAAGGAAAGAAGAAGGAAAGAAAGGAAAAAGGAAGGAAGGGAAGAAAAAAAAGAAAGAGAAATGTATGACGCATGACCCAATTGAGGGTGGAGATAGGAGTCAGAAAGAGATTTAGGTCAGCGTCTTGGCCGATTTTCGAAAGTCATTTTGGTAAGAATGTCGGTCAGAGCACCTAGCCTACTTTTGCATGGAAAGACACCTTATCAATTTGGATAAAGAGAAATTTTGGGAACAATGAAACAATTTTTAATCAGGGAAAAAGTGTCTTTGGGTTGAGGGGAGTGACCGGTGGAACGATATACAGACCTGTTAAGAATTGGACACCCACGTTAATAAAGTAGAGACATTTCAATGTAGATAATTAAGATTTTCGACTATCAGGTAAAACAAAGAGGTAAAAAAGAGGGACAATTGCTTTTGGCTCACAGAGGGCGCCAAGAAGGCGGAAAAGATCCTTTCTAAAGTCAAGACTAATTAGCAGCGGGCTGTTTAACAAAGTCCAGGTGAGAGAAAGCCAAAAGATTGTCATTTTGCGTACGTGCAAAAAGGGCAAAATTGGATTTTGTTTTTTTAAACAAGAACGATGTAACCACGCCCGCAAACAGAGGGGAGAGGATGTTCGATCAATAACAATTGGTCGAATACGATCACGTGACCTGCGGAAGAAAAGGGAAAGAAATGTTTGATCAATAACAATTGGTCGAATACGATCACGTGACCTGCGGAAGAAAAGGGAAAGAAATGCTCGATCAGGAACGATTGGTTGAAAAGCGGTCACCTGACATACGAGAGACTAAGAGAGATGGATGTGCGCCGCCCCACCAAAGGTACTGCGAGGAAGTAGGGGCGAAAACAATAGCGATAATGGAGAAGACAGAATTAATGCAGTTTTGGAATTATCGAGAAAACCCTGACGCCGACAGACCCACCCCAGTTTGTTGCGGCGTCAATATAAGCAGGACCCCAGTCGACGAAACATGAAATCAGATGAAGTTGGAGTTGAAGTTGAGTTGCAGATGTTGGAGTTGCAGTTGAACCGCGGGCAGGGAAAGAGCCTGAACGCGGGCATCAGGCCCGATTCACTCGCCCCTTTGCGGGCAGAAGAATCCTCAGACAAGAAATCCTTCCAGCCCAAGTCGAAGCAGAAGAACTTCCAGCCCAAGTAGACGAAGAAGAAGATTGCCTGAAAGCCTGAGAAGAATTGGAGCTGCAGACAAGCCGAAAGTCGATGAGAAGTTAAAGTTCATCCCCGGGCCGGCAGCGAGAAAAGAACCCTCAGACAAGAAAGCCCAAGTAGACGAAGAAGAAGATTGCCTGAAAGCCTGAGAAGAATTGGAGATGCAGACAAGCCGAAAGTCGATGAGAAGTTAAAGTTCATCCCCGGACGGCAGCGAGAAAAGAACCCTCAGACAAGAAGAACTTCCAGCCCAAGTAGAAGAAGAAGAAGAAATACAACTCAAGTCGGAGAGAAGAATCAACTGCGAATGATCGATAGAAATTAGCCCCAGTGTCGAACTGAACCACACTCCGACATACATACATGATTCTAGAAAGTAGGTAATTCGACATTTTCCTATTGTGTGATAGAAGCTTGGTGCCATAGTCCACAGAGCGGGTCGGGAATTGAGAACAATTTGTTTTTATGTAACGGACTTTAAGATATAAAAGGTTGTTACCCTTTTATCAGCAATTTTGTTTGGTGTCGTGAGTTTTTATTTTATTTGTGTTTTGCCACCCCGTCGGACTCAACTTGTATCGGCCCCGATCCCTGCTGGTCCCGTCTGTCTAAGATCTAAACACAGCGTGGGTAGACAGACCGGAGATCGGTATAGTTGCTTTAGTGACCAGGTATTGGAAGCGAGTCGGGAAAGGCGAGGCTGGTGATCATCTGACCAAAGGGTTGGAGCGGCACGCTTGGACCCAGGAGGAGCGACCAGGAGGAGCGACGTCACCGTTGGCGCCGTAACCAAAGGATCCGACACTGGGCCAGGTGTGTAACCGTCACAAGTGGTGCCGTGACCAACGGATCAACCCTGAGACAACCACGTCACGTATGGTGCCGTGGTGACCGAGGGATTTCAACCCTGAGAAGACCACGATCGACCGCCGTTGCTGAAAGTTCAAGCAGAAATCAGAACGACCCGGGACCAAAGGAAAAGAAGGAACAGAATCGTCTGTAAGGTAGGACACCTTGTTTTGTTTCCCAACCTCGATTGTTGCTATATAGACTGTCTTTCTCTGTAGACATGTCAGATTATGAGTCAGATAGAGCAGTGGGGGGTGAAGAAGAAGTAGGGCGGGGGTTGTCAGTGGATCTAAGGAAGCTGTTGGGTGGACCGAGGGTCCCAGTATTTGATGGCAGCGGGAAGGAGTTTAGGAACTGGCTGGCAATCCTCGAGAAGAGCCGAACCATCTACGAACTCTCGGACCAAGAAACCCTGTACCTGGCATACGATGCCACAAAGGGAAAAGCGTCTGAGTTCGTAAGGGGGCTCGTGGAGAACCAACCCCGCTTGGCTTGGGAAGAAATAAAAAGACTACTGACCAAAGAATTCGCCGACGAAGGTACGGCCATAGAGGCCATGAGGGCCCTTTTAAAACTGACACAGCTACGGGATGAAACCCCGGGAGAATTGGGGGCCCGAGCGGGGAAGCTATCGTCATTGGCATTCCCCGAAGTGGTCAGGGATAATGCGGTTATGCAGGCTCAACTGGCGGACCTGTATGTAGAGGCGCTGAGCGACGAGCGTGTTCGTCACGACGTATTGAAAGAAGGACCGCTCAGACTGTCGGCAGCGATAGAGCTGGCCAGGGAGAGCCAGGGGGTGTGGGATAAAGTGAAGAGGTGTGGGAAGAAGCAGATACCAAGTCAGGAGGCTGGAAGAAGGGGGGTAGGCGGAAGAACCCCCGTGTGGAATCAGAGGGTTAAGGAAGAGGTGGATCGGGCAGAATTATGGGAGGAGGACCCCAATAGAAGGGCATGGTCGACCAGGCATGGCTTTTATAAGCCCACGCCGGGTCGATACGGGCTGGTCTGCTGGACCTGTGGGTACGAGGACCACAGGGCGGCGGAATGTCCGACGAAGTGGGGTTGCCCCAGACTTCGATCGTGACAGGTGCACCAGGTGTGGTAAGAAAGGACACCTGGCCAAGTGGTGCGGGCTGAGGAAGGGTGCCCCACCAATATTAACAAAGAAGGCCGAGCCCAAGAAAAGCCAGCGGGCCACCCCAGAATTAAGAGGGAGGGTGGCCCAGTTAAAAAGAAGAGAAATAAAAGCTTGGACCAGTGGGTGGGTGAACCGCTTGAATAGAGGACGGGTTCCCCCGAGGATAGACACAAGGCCAACCCAGTTAAAAAGGGAAAGAGCAAAATGTTGGACATGTGGTCGGGCGGGCCACTTTGCGGCAAGCTGTCCAACAAGAAGGTGCTGGTTTTGCAGGAGGCCAGGACACCTGAAAAGAAACTGTATTTTTAGAAACGGCCATGGGAGACCGGGAGAGGTCCGGCCGGGGTCGCCCAGGTGCAGGGGGCGCAGAACTCCACCTCATGAAAAAAATGAAGGTGATTTATTACTACCGGCGCCTATGGCTGGGTTAACCCAAGGGTGGGGACCCAGGAAGAAGAAAGCTCAGGTGTTCTCTTCGCTAACGCAAGAGAGAGAACTATCCTGTAGAGCAGAGATAGGTGGTAGAGAGATGAGGGCTTTGGTGGACACAGGAGCATCTGTGTCATTGATGAGAGAGGAAACATACAGGCGGGTGAAACGGAAGAGAAGGTTACGGGAAGCGGACATAGAGATCACGCAAGCAGATGGGGCCCCCTGGAGATAAAAGGGATGGTGAGGCTCCCGGTGAGGATTGGGAGGGTGAAAAGCACCCAAAAATTTTTACGTAACCCCCGACCTGTGTACAGAGGCAATCTTGGGAGAAGATTGGCTCCGGAGCCAGAAGGCCCAGATCGAGTTTAATCCTACTGTGTTGGTGGTGAACGGCGAGAGAACGCCATTGGGATGCCCACCAGAGGAAGAGATAACCATAGTGGTGGAGGAAGATGTAAAGTTACCTCCTAGGACCGCAGTGTCGGGAAAGGGTAGGCTAATGTCAGAAAAAAAGGTACGGAGAGGACCTCTGCAGTTGGTCCCTGTAGAAGGAAAGGGCCTAGAAGATAACGAGGTAACCCTGTGCGAAACGGTAGTGGAGGCAGCCGAGTTGGTGCCCATTATGATGGTGAACCAGGCCCAAAAGACTATCAAGGTTAGGAGAGGGGAGAAGATAGGGAGAGCACTTCCCCTACGAACTCTGAATCGGGTGAGATTCGAGGAGGAACGAAGGAAGCTAGTAGAGCAAACAAAAGGAATCTTAGATGAGGATATATTAGCACCGGATCAATTTAGAACCAGAGTGGGGGGTCTGTTAAGGAACAATCGAGATGTGGTAGCCCAGTCAGACAAGGAACTAGGTCAGACCCACACAGTCGAAATGAAAATCGACACCGGAGACCACCCCTGTGAAATTAAAACCCTACCGAACACCTATACATAAAAAGACCCCTTGTAGAAGAGGCAGTAGAGGAAATGTTGGAAGCTGGGATGATCGAAAGATCGATCTCTCCTTGGAGCTTCCCAATAGTAATAGTAGGTAAGAAAGATGGCGGCCACCGTTTCTGTGTAGATTTTAGAAAGCTGAATTCTATATCGAAGCCGTTGGCGGTGCCATTGCCATTGATAGACGACATTTTGGCATTATTAGGGAAGGCAAAGTACTTCTCTACGTTGGACTTGAGGTCCGGGTATTGGCAGGTAGCCCTGGATGAGGCTGACAAGGAGAAGGCCGCATTCGCGTGTCACCTGGGACTGTTTCAGTTCAGAGTGATGCCATTCGGTTTAGCTAATGCCCCGGGAGTCTTCCAACAGCTAATGTCAATAGTGTTAGGAGGATACGAGAGCTTTGCCATGGCGTATTTGGACGATATCTTGATATTTTCGGAGACAGTGGAACAACACTTTTTTTCATTTAAGACAGGTGTTGGGAAGGTTGAGGAAACACGGATTAAAATTGAAATTGTCAAAGTGTCAGTTTCTGAGGGAAGAAACTAGGTATTTAGGCTTCGTCATAAACGGAGACGGTATTAAACCCGACATGGATAAGGTAAAGGTCATAAGGGAAATGCCAGAGCCTAAGACAGTGAGGCAGGTAAGAGGTTTTATAGGAGCTATAGGCTACTACCGGCGCTTCGTCCCGGCATTTTCAAGAATTGCCATACCGCTAGTGGCCCTGACGAAGAAATACGCTAGGTTCAAGTGGACAGAGGACTGTCAACGAGCATTTGATTCGCTAAAGGAACAGTTGACAACCGTTCCACTGCTGACGTATCCAGACCTCAGCAAGCCCATGATATTATACACGGATGCCAGTGAGCAGTGTGTAGGAGCAGTACTTACCCAGCCGTGTCCTGATAAGGAAGGACCAGTGCCAGGCATACCAGAGGAAGTACCGATATACTTCCTCTCCCATAAGCTCTCAGAGACACAACAGAGGTGGCCAGTAATAGAGAGGGAAGCATATGCTATCATGTATGCTCTCCAAAAACTGGACTACTATTTAAATGGTGCGGTCTTCACTATAAAGACAGACCACAAGCCTCTGCAGTACCTATTGCAGGCAGAGTGGACAAATAATAAGAAAATTCAACAGTGGGCACTTAAGTTAAGTGGCTACCACTGTAAGATAGAGTATTTGGCAGGAAAGGAAAACACGTGCGCAGATTTACTCTCAAGAATACCGAAACAACTGGAAGAAAGATCTGTAAGGGTAGAACAGGGAGTAGATGATAAAGCCTATAGAATAGGAGTAATTAACTCTAATAAGCTAAAAGATCGCCCTATATTAGAATCGGACGAAGAAGGGGACGCCCAGATAATAACCGATCCTTACTGGACAGAAGGAATTGAAAAGGAGCAAGCAGACAGTGAAATAGCTGCTCTGAGAGAGAAGGTGAAGTCAGGAGAGACCACCAAGTATGCCATAATAGAGGAAAGGCTGTATTATCTCTCAGGAAGGGATGAAGAAGTCAAACCCAAGTTGTATGTGCCCAAAAGTTTAAGACCAGAGATATTGGAACAGTGCCACGGGGGGTTGGGTCACATGGGAATTGATAGGACATGTGATCTCATAGGAAGAAAGTACTATTGGCCCAAACTGTACGGAGAAGTCACTAACTATGTTCGAAGTTGTGTAGTGTGCCAGTCGCAGAGCAGAAGGCAGGAAATGGCACCCTTGGAGGAAACAGACGTACCAAACTTCCCCTTCGAGAAAGTGAGTATGGATGTATCAGGACCATATGGGGAAACTGCACAAGGAAACAACTATATAGTGAGTTTTGTCGATTGGCTAACAAATTGGCCTGAGGCATTTGCAGTACCAGACAAGAAGGCCAGAACTGTGGCCGGGTTGATAATAAGCGAAATCTTCCCTAGGTATGGTGCCCCTGTGCAATTGGTAACAGATAATGGCACGGAGAATGTGAACAGCATCATGAGAGAGGTTTTGACAGGTTTGAATGTAGAGCACATAAAAACATCCCCATATCACCCCCAGGGAAATGCTAAAGTGGAAAGGTTTCATAGAACCTTGGGAGATGTATTGGCCAAGTTGGTCAGAGAAAACATTGGAAATTGGGACTTGTATTTGACGCAGGCTCTGGCGGCCGTGAGGTTTACGATAAACGAAACCTCCAGATTTTCTCCTTATTTTTTGTTGTTTGGCAGAGACGTGGTCCTGCCTGTAGATAACCTACTGAAGCCCCGAAGAAGGTATATGGGAGAAGATCATCATCAACTATTGCTGGAACAGCAACATAAGATATTCGTACAGGCCAGAAGAAGAATAAAGAGGGCCCAGAAGAAAAGAAATGAGAGGGTGAATGCTGAAAGAAAGGTGGTAGAATTGAAGGTTGGAGACCCTGTCTACTATAAAATCCACCAGAGAGAAGGAAAACTGGACCAGAGATGGGAACCGTACTACCGGATAGTAGAGCAGACGGGCCCAGTATCATATGTAATATGGGATCAAGTGGCAGGACGAGCGAGGAGGGTTCATGCCAATGATCTGAAGAAGGCTGAAATAGCTAACCTGGAAATGAGCGAGCCGAGGCCTAAGAAGACAAGGAAAAGGAAGGTAACTCTGGTTGAACCGGAAGGAATGGAGACGGAGGAAGACTCCGAAGAAGATGAGGAGATAGGTCAACTTGACCAGATAAACGAAGCAGTCCGAGTGACAGAGTTGGAACCCTCAGCGGGGATTAGCGATGTTCAGTCGTCGACTGAATCAGTGCAGAGAAGACCCCGTGAGATCGCCATCACACCCCCATGTCCGAAGAAAAGGAAGAAAAAGACGAAGAGGTCCAATCAAGCAGTCGAAGGCTCTAAAAGGAGGCACCCTGAACAAGACGAAGGGTCCAGCGAGTGGGAGGAGGAGGATCAAATACCCCTTTCCCAGCTTAAGGAAAGGATAAAGAACAGGAGAAGTTTACACATAGAGTCGAGAGGTATCGAAGACATTCAAGGTGAAGACTCTAAACAGGAAGAAGAATCAGGGGATGAAGAAGAGGACAAAAAACCTCCTGGACGAGAATTAAACACAGAAAGAAGGTTAGAGGTTGAACA